GGGGAGGGGGCGGGCTGGGGGCGGGGCTTACTGCCCGGGACCCAGACTGGAAGGGAGCGGAGAGGGGGGCCGCGGTTTCTGCACAGGAGGTCGCGTGCAGCTCTGGAGACGCCCGCACTAATGGGGCTAGAGTGCACCGAGGAGCAGCAGGGGGAGAGCGAGCGTGCCTAACCCGGGGTGCATAGAAATGCACACTTTCCACCGTTGTCAAGAGGAAAGACTGTGGGGAAAGGGCCGAACCCAATCACTAAAGTGCTAAAGTGTGCAAGATGTGAAATGGATTAAGGAAGTGGAGTTGCTTAGCCTGAGGAGGGCGGAGTGCCCCATCTAGGAAGGTGCGACAGACCAGGGTAGAGCTAAGGGGCGCCCCATGGAGCTGGGGCCCCGAATTTCCTTTTGTAACAGATCCCCTCTCCCCATCAGGCTCCGGGAGTCCCCTTCTCAGAGGCCACGTGAGATCCCAACCCTACCCTGAGGGACCTCCTCCTCTGGGAAGCCCTCCTCCGTGCCCATCCGCAGGTGCGGTGGTTCCTTGCGCACACTCAGCCCCTGTCCTACCCAGCCTCTTCCCACCAGGCCTTTCCTCTGCCTGGAGCTAGACCTGGCAGTGAGTCCTCTCCCACTGCTAGATGGCCCCATCTTGACTCACAGCAAGCTGTTTTCTTGCTTCCTGGCCTAGCTCAGCCTGGGAGTTGATCTGTGTTTGTGGCTTTGGTAATTAAACGTGTGGCCCAGAGGTCAGGAGCTCAGGGCAGTGCTGGGTGGGGTGCCTGGTGGTGACGGCAGGAATGGCACCTTTGTCCAGCTCCCTTGTTCTGAACTCCCAGGTCTTCCTTGTACACAGACTCCCAGAGAGATACAGACACTTGACCCCGCCAGCACCCAGGACTCTGCCCTAGAAAGAAAAAAGTAAGGTTGGGGGTGGGGAGGGAGCAATGCCCTGCCCTGAAGGGTTAAAGGGAAGTCAAGTTTCTTGTTACAAAAGGGGCAGGCTCTGTAAAGGTATTCACTTTGGGTAGAGACATGGAAGCAGGGACTGCAGCAGGTTACCTTCAGATGAATTAACCAAGTCCAAGAAAACATCTTATCACAGTGTTAGAAGTTGTCCTTTAGTTGACAGTGGTGGGAATGGCACCAGGTGTTGGATCCGTGGTGTCAGACCAGACCTGGGTTCAGCAACCTTGGTAATTGAGTTCTGGCTAGGAAAGAATTCAGAGCCAAGACTCAAGCTATAAGAGAACATTTGTTTAGAAAATCACAGAAGTAGAAGTAATTCGCAGAAAAAATGGGCTGAGGAAACGAGTTATAGAGACAAAGCTCCCTTGGAGCTTAGAAGTGAGAAAGGTAAAGGTGCCTCACCTAGGGGGATCGGAGGGGAAAGGGAAAGGTTGCAGAGTGCTCCTGGGAGGGACAGCAGGCTGCATCCTCCCTCCTATGGTATAACGGATGGAGATTTTAGGGGTGCCTCTCAGCCATATTTGCAAACACTGAGACCTCAGAAGTAGCAACCTATTTTCAACTTTTCCCTCCTTTTTCCAGGGGAAGAGCTCAATAGAATATTCAGCAGCTTTCCTGGTGTGTCCTTTCAAGGTCTAGGTCTCCACTGATTGATTGGTTGGCTCCAGGGGGGGTCATTATCCAATGAAGCTGGTCCTGATGTCAGCTTTGGCCTGGCTTGTCTGTTTTTGCTGCTTTTCTGGGCCTGGAGCTGAATTACAACTGAGGTCTAGATGTCATCTTTAGGAAGGAAAGGTCAGGGGGTCCAAATGGCATGACCATATACTAGGGGAAGAAAGGTCACCCTGGTGACCTTCTGTACCTGGTCCATGATCCTTGCTCTGCTCATTCTAGCTGCCTACCACATTCTCTGTCCTTTGAGGAGGAGGAAACCAACTCCTTATCCCTCTTTGGGGGACCAGCTTCCTTCCCCCAGCCCTGCAGAGCAAGTCTTGCACCTACTCTTTGAGGCACTGGTTTCTACCCACTGGAGGACTAGTTCAGGACCTAGTCCTCTAAGGGATTAGTGTGTTTCCCGCTCCATGGGGGTTAGCCTCCTAGCCTATACACACACACACACACACACACACACACACCTGAGCCCCTCTAAGATGCCCTGGGAAATGAAGCTGAGACACCCCTTCAGAGGGAGCCTGGAGCTCTTTAGGGCTGGCGTGGCCCTCCCTGGGTTCCTGAGCTCCTTCATTGTTCCTCCCTACCCGCAACCTGATCCCCAAGTGCTGAAGGCTGCCTCTCAGCCATATTTGCAAACACTGAGACCTCAGAAATAGCAACCGATTTTCAACTTTTCCCTCCTTTTGCCAGGAGCTCCGAGCTGGGGGTCAGCAGGTTGGGTGCCAATCCTGGTTTTGCCATTAACTTTTGTGAGACTGTTAGAATTTGTGGCATAGATAGTGTGACATACACTATCTGTGGTGTATGGCCCTAGCTGCAGCTTAAAATCACTTGGTGAGGTTTAAATGTGTCCTGATATCCAAACTCCAACCCAGTCAAGTCAGAATCTCCACCTACAGGGACCTGGGAATTGGTATTCTTTTAAAGGTCCCAGCTACTTTCTAAAGTGCAGCCAGGACTGAGTATCACTGGTGTAGAGGTAGTCATGAGGGTTAGGTGGTCAGCCAGCATTTTATCAGAAAGGCCACACTCCAGAGGTCACTCAGCCTATCCAGCATTATGCTGATAAATGCTTAATAACTGTCTCTCCATGGGAGAGGCACCCTGTTACCAATTGCCATAGTGTAAATACTTCTACCATATCTGATTTCAATTTACCAACTCGAAGTCAATGAACCTGGGAGTTAAGAAACATACACAATCACATACAATCAGCTCAGCAGCCTCTGTATCTCTCCATGTCTCAGTCTATGTCTCTACCTCACCCCCAAGCTTTACTGATTAGCATAGAAAATGCCATAATGAATGTATCAGTGAAATTCATGGCTTATTAATTAGCATAGCAGGTATTAGAAATAAACTCTCCTTTGGTGAAATTAGTAGTAGTAAAGCTACGTAGATTGGCTAAAATGGTTTGGGGGTCACCACGCATTCCTTGTTCAGAGTAAAAGAATCTCACTTAGCCTTGGCGATGTGGCTCACTTGGTTGAGCAGTGTCCCATACACCAAAAGGTCTCCAGTTTGATTCTTGGTCAGGGCACATGCCCCGGTTGTGAGCTCCACCTCCAGTAGGAGGCATGCAGGAGGCAGCCGATTCGTGTTTCTCTCTCCTCCATGTTTCTATCGCCCTAAAATATTAGTAAAAACATTAAAAAGAAATAAAAGAATCTCACTTAGGGATGATGCACCAGGTTGAATCATTGAAGGACCCTATGCCCCAAGGTATTCTGAATGTCTGATGTGGACATCAGTCTAACTGAATCCTACCTCTAGAACGTTGTATCTTCCTTGATTTCCTTGAGTGGACCTTTCATGCAAGGTGGTAGAGCACCTAAAAGGACCGAGAGCTGGGCCTTGACTGACTTTACAGAACAGATTACATGAGCCAGTTTTGTGACTTGCTAATAAATGTTTGCTTTATAAATATTTGTATGGGCAATAAAATTTGTTCTGAGATCTGTTTCCATGATAACTTGGCAGGGAGCTTGTAGGGGGAAATAGCTAACCCTCACTTTTAGTGGCTACTACTGTTTACGGAAAAGAACCTCAGGACTGTGCATGACCAACTTGGCTTGCATGTTTGCATTTGTGCCGCTGGACAAGCAATTCTATCTGCATCTGTTTCCCCATATGTGAAACCATAAGGTCAGACTGTTTGTCTTCTAGCTCTTACAGTCTTAGCTATAGTCCTCATAGTCAAGTCAGTCAGCAAATGATACTGAGACTCTGGGTACACAGCTGTAAACAAGACAGACAAGAGCTTCTATTCTGCTCAAGAGT